TCCAGTTGCACGAGACTGTCCCGAACAAATCATGAATTCAATTGATATGCAGGCTACCAGCAGAATTCCAGGTTCTCACAGAAGCTCTGCAACACATTGTGCCCGAGTTTGACTCATTCCAAAACATGAGCGGACTGAGATATATTCACGTGTTGTGACCCTCAGCTGACTGCTGTTAAAACCAACGACAATATCGTTTACAGCAAGCTTTCATGCTAGCATTTTCAACATACTTGACTGTATTTCATTATATATTTGTGTACAATGACCTTGGCTCCAACACTGGATCTGACATTTCATGCACTTTTTAAGCATTCTCCATGTGCAGAAACCAGGCAGGTAACTGAAACGCTCAGTAACTGAACATCCGATCTTCTTTCATTACTGTTTGAAAGAATTTTCTGATTTTGGTCTACGTTGAAGTAGATTAAAACCAATCAGATCCTAGGAGGAGACAATGACATGAGGCAGACACCACCCCTTCCCAAAGCACTCACCCGTCTCTAATCTACACGAGTAGCTGTACATGAAATAGAGTTGTATGAGGTAGTGGAAGCCAGTCATCGGGGTAATGGGGTAGTAGAAGAGGGCAGTAACAGGTCGCCAGATCTAAAAAACCAACATGACCAAGGAGTGAGTCGGGAGGGAAGTTGAGCAAGCGATAAAGCAGTAAAGAGCTTATGAAGAGATAAAAGGATGGAAGTTACGTATGCAGTGGGGAAAACATCAATAATTACAAAATATTGAAAACGCTTAATGTCAACAAATATTTTCCAAACTCGCGAGAAAAAACTTGCATGAGACACAAATTATATTGCGGATTCCCTAACTCAACTACGAAAAAGTCATGGGCACAATCTTACCGACTACTTTTAAAATGAATGCATGAATATACAGTAAGAAGAAAAACTATATCATAACTCTTAAATGATATGTGGTATCTCTTGTCGTAATTCTATGCTTTCTCTGGGGAAATAGGCCTGGTCAAATCTTTAAAATGGAAAAAAATCTTTCAGTAGGCCAGAGGCCTGTGAAGGTATGTTCAACCACAAAGCTTAGAAGAATTTCACATTTTACGATGACTTTAATTCCAAGGTCATGAAGACCGGATAGAGTTTCATATACGAACGTATGCCACTTGACACCCCAAGCACAAACCCTATGAGACTGGTCTGAAAAATTCTAAGTGTTTTCTAAGTAAATCATGAATTGTTTTTTCCCTCCCAAATTGAACTTTACAGGACATGTTTTTGCTTTCAGAAGGCTGGTGTCCATGTTTGGAAATCTTCCCCCAAGACCTAGGAAAACTCTCTTTTAGTTCACCTGAAATCTGTAAACCACTTGTTGAAAGGTGAGAATTAACCACATGGGGTTCAGAAGACCGAATTTGGCGGCCAGTGGAATCACCACAGAACCGGTGAACCACCCACGAGTGATTTGCGGGATCCCTCGGTACCAATCGCCTATGTCGCTCTGGGCCATTTTGCTACTGGCCTCACTCCTTGCGGATACAAAACGGTAGAATTCCTTGGGAAATAGCGCAGTCGTTGAAAATCAAACAAAGACAGAAAATGATGATCTGTACTAAAATTGTAGTAACTTTCCGACTTGACGCAAAGCCTGTACTGGTTAACAATACGTGGCGACTTCCAAATCGCTCCCTATTTGAAGTCCGCCCTCAAGTGATAAGGGACCTTACGAAATCTTCCCACAATGCATCTCTCATAAAGCGCCATATTGAAATTGTTTATTAACGTCAAAAGCCTGACTCACCACTCATTTTCTACATTAAAAGTAAATGAAAACGTGAAACTGTAATTTAGTGATAACGAAGTGTTATAGGTATGTATTCAAGACCGTGGTAATGCCATTAAACCATTTTTTTTGGCAGAACGATTTTTGGGGTAATTTTTTAAAATAAATATTAGCATACGAACATGACGTTAAAGCATCCCCTCCATGGTTAAAGGAACTGCCAGTAGCGGGCGCCCCTTGAGGTCAACAGTAGAAACTTTGGAAGTGACTTAGTTTCATCTTGTTAGATTGGTGATTTAGTTGCCTATCAAAGTACAAAGTAGGCTAAGACTTAGTCTTCAAGAGAGTAGGCCAAGGCTACTTCCAGAGCTGTAAATAACTTCTTAGTTCTGGAAGTAATTTCTTTAATTTTTAATATTCTTTAATAATAATCTTTAATAAATCTTTAATTAACGCTGTCTGGGCCTTGCCCAGACAGCGTTAATGAAAGATGGTGATTCCAACTGCTGTTTTGTCATCGACTTTGTATCACTCGTAATGAAGCCTAGTGTGTGCTTGAACACAATGAATGTGTCAAAAACAACAGTCGCTCATGGGTGTGTGTCATCGTTGTGCAGGATGGGGATTGGACGAGTGAATGGTGCGCCTATGCCACGTTTTGGCAATAAGTTCACGCTGGATCCCAAGCATTCCATGTATTTCGGTTCCATCATGCAACGTCATGCTCTGGGGACCTACGTAATAATCATTGATAACAATGCTGATTGGTTCAGACAGAACAGATCGGTCAAACGATCGTGGGGTCACGGACTGTTGTGGGGCCAAGGATATGGAGGTAGTCCAGTAGATAGGCCCCCAGTATGGGGCTAGCCTAGCCGCCCAGCCTAACTATGCTATAGGCCTATTGAATTTTCCTTGATAATTTTAAAGTTTGATGTTTTCATGTGAATCAATGTTCTCCCCATTCACTGTGCATAAACAGTGAAATTGTGGGCATATTTGATGGAAAGGTTAAGAAATTAGACAGTAATTCAGATTTTCCCCGTAGACCACAGCACGAATTTTGCTCCTTTGAATTTCGAGTGTGAAATATGGAATAGCCACCAACTGACCAATCAAAGAGAAGAATCAAGACTCACTTATGTCATCCCGACCGTAAAAATATGTGACTCAAGTTAACTTGGATTGTTACATGCCAATCAAAACATCAAACTCAATTTACCCCTTATGAAACGGGGTTTGTTTCACCGTTTTGGGAGGTAATAATTTGAACCTCAAAGTTCTGGGACATGTCTAGGGGTGCCTTCGGGGTGTGATGAATCCCATGCTAGTTTAAAGGGTTATTTATTTTGCATTTTGCCCACGAACACTTGAGAAATGTTTTACTTCAAGAAACCCCACATCGTACACGTATGCGAAGTTAGTGATATCACTTTGTATACAGTAAAGAAAAACGAAATGCATCAAAGTCTTTTTCACTAAGATTTAATGTTGCTTTTTCCCTCGGCCCTGGTTTAGATTGGAATTTGGACACGATGTCCCTGTAATGCAGGATGCAGACATGCGACATAAACAAAAAAGAGGCAGGCAAGATTTGGCTGCGGAAACCCTCTCCGTCTGGGGATGATGGGTAGGTCACACATTTCCCACCCAAGACTGCTATTTATGACCACAAAAGTTCTTTCTGTTGTTTTGAATTTCATTTTCCATGCTCTTAAAATATTTGATCGTTTTTTGATATTTGAATATCTATTTTGATTCAAATATTCACAGGTACGGTGCAGTGAAATAACAAGGAAAAACTCCACATTTTTTGTCACAGAATGACTTTCTTAAGAACTTCCTGCCAAAACAAAAGTAATACATTGAGTCGTTCTTCCGGTTACCAACTATTACTGAGTTAGTGTAATAAATATTCTTGTACTAACGAAAGATTGCTTCTCTGGAGGCATTGTTGACCAGATTTTCTAGAATTTGATCCAGGTTTATGTCAAATATTCAATAATGTGATCTAGCCCAGCTCTTCTCTAAGGATTTGATTGATCAAGTACAAAAATGTTGACTGCACATAGTGACCACTTTCTTGCTCCTCAAAGGTTGATGGTTCAGATTAAGCAGGATGTGAGTGGAACCTTGGCACCCAGCGGTCGGCGGGTACGCTTCCTGCACACGGCATTCAACAACACCGGCGACAGCTTCATCGCCGGAGACCACCTTGGAAACATTTACATCTTTGATCTGTCCAAGAACAGGTTTGGTCCAATGCTGCCTCTCCTCCAGAGTTCCGTCCAGATGGCCAAATTGTGAAATTTTACCATTTAATTTTATTTAAGCAGTTGATAAGAAATAAAGACTGCTTTCAACACTGCTTAGAAAAAGCCAGCTGCAGAACTGAGCGTTTAATTGCAACTCTCACTACTTACAATTTTCTGTCTGCAACCTGCTTTTCCTATTTCAAATTAAAAGCTAGATGCGTACAAATCCTTCAAGTTCTCTTTCCCAGGTAGTGGTCGATTATTTGTGCACTCTATCGTAATCTTCAGGTTTTTACAAAACAAGAACAACTCCCTGATCGAAACAGTGTACTTTTCACCTGGACAATATCCGCCTCGAGCAGAAGCACCCCCTCGTCAGTTGAAAAGAGCCATGTCGGTCAGGAGTGCTCATTTTGTTCCATTGCTGAAAAATAGCACCCTCTGTTGGTCCAGTTCAAGGCCCATAATCTTTCTTAAATTCTTCATGCATGTGACTAGCCAATAGAATGTCAGCCAAGCCATAATACTTCTAGGTTCTAGAACCTTCAGGGTTAGAGTTGAAATAGTACTTGAAGTCTAGACCTAGTACCTGGCCTAGTACAAGTGAGTGCTTTTTGGTTGTTGCTTGTCTCCCAGGTTCCAACTGATCCAGAGGACGGGACAAGCTTGCACGTGTCTGGCCTTCACACTCCGCAGGAAGACAGAGTACCTCGCTGCCCTCGCAGACTGCTCCCTCAAATGCTTTGATACTGGTAAACCTTTGAGCCCTGGTGTTTCAGGCTCGCTGTTGTCGAGGCTCTTACAAATCAAATAAACTCAGTTTATGGCCACATGGGAAAAGCCACAGTAGGACATTTCTCTCTATGTTTCAAGTTTGAAATTAATGCGTAGACAGAGTTCGGACTCTACCACGAGAAAATTTGTTTAACGTTCGGTGCTTTATTTCTCTCCCTGCACCCAGATTCCAAGGAGCTTGTGGCTTGGATGAAGGGTCACGGGACGCCCATCCACTCCATCTCCGTGCACGCCTCGGGCCGCTACGCTCTGACGACGTCCTCCGACACCAGCCTCCTCTGGGATCTGGACACATTCACCCGGAAACGCAAACTCAACGTGCGGGACGCCGTCGGCATCTCAAAGGTCCACAATCCCATCAGTTTCTCCAAATGAACAAATTTCAACGCGACCGCCTTTCTTCAGGAACATGCATTGCCTACAGTAATGTGCCTGTCAGGCGTTGCATGTGCATCCGTAGATATTCTTGAGACATTCTGTTATCTTTTTTCATTCGTTCTGTCATCTTTTTCAACGATTTGCCCCTAGATTTATGGAGCCTGTCCATTGATTGTCTTTTCTTTTCGTACGTTCGACAATTTTTCAGTACCGTGTGTGTGTGTGTATTCCGTGAACCAACTGTGCAGTTTTGGAACACATTCCGCCGTCTTCTCATATTCTGTAGTTTTTATGCGCACTGTGGAAAATATTTGTCAGATGCACCCTTTTTATTTGAGACATTGTGTAGTCTTTTTATTGATTCCGTGAGTCATTCCAACGGTTCTGTCATTTGTTCATGGATCGAGGAACCTGTCCGCTGACTCTGCAGAAGAGCTGTGCGATGACAGCTCTTCACGTACTTTGCACAGTGCTCTGTCTATAATATCTCCATATTCCCTGAACTGATCCGGCAATCTTGCCATGCATTCTGCAGTCGCTTCATAATCCGTAGTCGTTCGATTTACTCCGCAGTCTCTGTCTCCAAAGGTTCCCAAAGCTTGGCCCGACTCTTCCCGACCATTTGTTTGATTCCTTCTCCCCCCCCCATCAGGTCTTCTTCCTGCCCCTGAGCAACACCATCCTGACCTGTTTCCGGGACGACTCCATTTTTGCCTGGGAGTCGGACACCCTGCAGTGCAAGTACCAGCTGCCCGTGCCCCCCGGGGAGAGGCCCAACTACAAGGCCTTTGCCACGCCCAGGTAAATCTCGCACAGGTGCTTAAAAGAGTTATAAACCAGCTCTGAGAAACCTGACAGTTACACAGATGAGCAAGTTGTTGGGGTTTTTTGGGCAGATTTTGTTTGTGCTAATAATGCGTATTTTGTCTTGGACCATTGGTCATCTTGATCGTGGGACTTTTTGAAGTGGACTCTAGGATGACCCCGAGGATGACCAGAGCACACTGGTCAAAATGTGGAGTACGCACTCAGTACCGCAAGCTCCACCGTGCAAAGCTTCAAGTCTTATCTAAAATAATCTAGCGTTTAGCCATTGAAGTATTTGGAGTTTGGCTTCAGTCTCTGTGTTTGGTTAAACTTGTTTTTTAAAAAATGAACTGATTTGTGTTCAAAAAGCCGTATCCTCCCCGAGTGACCCCTGTTCACCACTTCCCAGGTTGCATCGTGTAAATGGGACGTGATCCCTGGCTACATGGTGTTTACGGTTTAATGGTATCTGGCTGGCGCCTCCAAACAGAGATATTGACAAATGGGAAGAGCCATCGACATAGGGCTGATAGCTCAGTTGACAGAGAGCCACCAACGTAGGGCTGATAGCTCAGCTGGTAGAGAGCCACCAACATAGGGCTGATAGCTCAGCTGGTAGAGAACCACCAACGTAGGGCTGATAGCTCAGCTGGTAGAGAACCACCAACATAGGGCTGATAGCTCAGCTGGTAGAGAACCACCAACGTAGGGCTGATAGCTCAGCTGGTAGAGAACCACCAACGTAGGGCTGATAGCTCAGCTGGTAGAGAACCACCAACATAGGGCTGATAGCTCAGCTGGTAGAGAACCACCAACATAGGGCTGATAGCTCAGTTGGTAGAGAACCACCAACATAGGGCTGATAGCTCAGTTGGTAGAGAGCCGCCAACATAGGGCTGATGGCACAGCTGGTAGAGAACTACCAACGTAGGGCTGATAGCTCAGCTGGTAGAGAGCCACCAACGTAGGGCTGATGGCACAGCTGGTAGAGAACTACCAACGTAGGGCTGATAGCTCAGCTGGTAGAGAACCACCAACGTAGAGCTGGTGGCTCAGCTGGTAGAGAACCACCAACGTAGGGCTGATAGCTCAATTGGTAGAGAGCCACCAACGTAGGGCTGATAGCTCAGTTGTAGGACGGGGGTTGCAGGTTGAAATCCCACTCCAGTCAATTTCTTTTTTCATCTTTTTAATTATTGAATTTTTGGGGGTTGAAATTCATGTCTTTGAGAATAAGGTTTGAGTCTCCCGTCAATGAGCACTTTCCGTAAAATGACAGTGATGTAGTAAAAACATGTATTGAAAGTTACAGTTACAAAACCAAGAAAGTTGGGCTGTAAAACAGTCCGTTGGGCAGCCCGTGTAAAACGTGCAGTAAAGTTGTTTGCGAAATGAAAGGAAACTGGACAAAATTAATGAATAAATTACTGAACTGTTGACCATCGTTCCAGGGACGGGCGACTGTTGGTTGCAGGGGGCAAGTCCCGCTTTCTTCACATCTGGGCCCTGGACACCCGCCGTCTGCTACGCGTCATTGAGATGCCGACCAAAGTACACGTTGTTAAGCAAGTGGAGTTCCTACCGGAGAGCTTTGACGGGGGCTCCAGTCAGGTAAAATGGATTTCATCAGGTTTCGGTTAATAAGTACGTTACTGCGTGAATTTGGAATGGGGAACCAGTCAGCATACAAAGCTTTGTACTCAAGGCAACCAATGGCAGCCAGTCCATGACGTCATACATGGTGAGACCACTGATTGGATGAAATTGATTGGGCTATCTAAGCTCTGTAGTTTCTGTCTGTATTGCAAAGTTTGTTTGCCTTTTTTGTTAACAGTGCCACAGGAAACTGCATGTTTTTTACTTATTTTTTGATATTTGTTTCAACCACTTGAATGTCCTATACTGCTTAATGTGTGAATGAGTCCTTCAGGGTTGGTTAGAGCACCAACCATTGGTCCTGGGTACCGGGCAAAAATTGATCTGCGTTTAGACAAAAGATGTCAGAGCGGAATGAATGGCTCCCTTCCAGGTTGTGGGAGTGCTGAGTCAGGACGGCATTATGCGTTTCATCAACGTCACCGCCTGCAGCATGCTGTGCGATCTGGGCTCCCTCCAGGACCGTGTAGCCAACGTCTCGGTCAGCCCGGCCGGGCGCCACGTAGCCGCCGTGGTGGACAGCGGCTGCATCAACGTGTACAGCGTGCCGGCACTGATGTCTGACTTCAACAAGGTGCGACGGCGTATTTGAGAAAAAAAAATTTTTTTCACCAATTGAGAAACTATCTGTTAGGATCGAAACGCCCGGCCCTCTAACTTTTTCAAAAAGTTTATATTCTTGTTCGTTTTATAGTATGAGTTTCCTTGCTTTGAGAAGTTGAAATTTCTATGATTTTCTCGCAAATGAGAAATAATTTCTATTCAAATACTAACCTTTTTTGTAATTTGTTGGTGAGAAATTCAATAGATATTGGCTACTACCGACAGTCATAACCAGTCATCTTGCTTCTCCCAAAATAAAAGTCCGCAAGTTGGTTTCCTTTTGCTTTTTTTCATTTTCTCTGTCCAGCCTCCACCCGCCTTGGTCAAAGTTGCATCCAGCAGGACCAAAAAGAGAGACACGTCCAGGGACACGACCAGCACCACACTCAGGTCCATGACCCCGGGGAGACTACAGATGCCGAAGGCGACGAAGGAGACGCCGGGGAGGACGCACATGGTGACGACCGGGGTCAGGAGGAGGGCAGGGGAGAAGGGCAGTATGACGTCGGACAGAGAAGAAGTACTTGAAATTGTAAAGTTGTTTTCTCTAAATCGTTGTTTCCTCTCAGTTTTGGCCGGATTTTTACCTCTGTGAATATTGAAATTAAGAAAAGTCATGTTTTGCTGGAGAAGCATCAAGCTGTGTGCTGCTAACCCAAAGATAGAAGTATTTTTCTTCAGTTCAAACATTATTGGCCTATACATGTTTGTGGTTTTGATTTGAGAGACAGAACCGGGGATGTGGATGAAGCCGAGCTTTGGAAACCTTCCAGAGTTTAATCCATTTGTTGATCGTTTCGTCGTCTTTGTACGCTTCATGGATGAACTTTGGAAGGCACTGGAGTCTAAAAGTGTGGGACCGCAGACGGTTTGCCTGTGTTTGTTCCATGTGGCCACTTCAAGCCCGGTTTAATGTCGTACAACACGTGTGCCATTTGTCAACTTCCAATCGCTCGACTTTGATAACATCGCCACAAATGAATCCTATTCTTTATTGATCTAGGTCGCCGACTTGCCCGAGGGACTTGACCTGAACAGGTTGCACGCCATCCTCAAAGGCTACGGGGAATATCCAGCCAAATACAGGTGGGTCCTCCTTGTAACAGGCCTCGGGCTGGAGCAAGAGAGGGCGCTATTTCCTCAGCAACGGAGGCTCCTTTGGTACTAACTGCACATTGCTGGATCACAAATGACTCGGAAATGCAAGCGTGGCAGTCAGGTCGCTACCAACGCGGCCCTGTTCAACCGATGGGGGAGGCGTGCTTCTGCTTGAGGCAGATTCTACTTTCAGGGAAATGTACATAAAATTGAATAACAATTCTACTAGAGGGGAGTAGGAGTTTTGAGTAACTTTTATTTGCGGGGTAGCAGCAAAGACGTACGGTTATCGCTCAGAAGTTTCTTGATGAACGAAGGTGTGAATGCTGGTGAGATTTCCTCTAGCTTTTCAAAGTGCCGTTCTTGAAGATGTGCTGACTTCCTGATTGCTGATTACCTAGGCGTCCAATTATTTTGTGTCCCTGTCACATCTAACGTGTGATTTTGTTAAGTTCAGATCACATAGTCAAATTTCCAAAAGTGATAAATTTAATATGCAAATTACCTGCCAAACAAATAGAAATAGTTTGAAATCAATTTCAGTGATATTTCTGTGTCAAATTACACAGGTCAGGTGTAACAGGCACACAAAAATGTTACACTTTTGGACCCCCGAATTTATAGAATGACCCAATTTCATTATTTCTTTGGTGCGCATGAGATGCATTTTTAATAGTTCACACGCCTTTTTGCCTTTTCCCCGTTACGGGTAGAATTGAATAGCCACACTGTCCAGCATGGTACCCTGTGGTCTGCTGGAATGCTAATCTAGGTTGGTACAGAAGACCTTGTTTGCAATTGATTTGTGAAAATGAGATGCAGTCAGCTTTAGTGACTTAATTGTGCGGTATCCTGTCACATTGTTTGGACATTTTGCAATAAATGGGTAATGGTGAGGCTAGATACGGTTCTGTTTGGCCGTTGATGCCTGGTATGGTAGCATCAGGCTAGTATACTCCCCAGGGAGTCAAGACGGACTCAGGAACGCCCAGATGTTGTGAGCCGTACGTGCAGGGATAATGATGATATATCGGCGCCTTGGAATCGCAGATGTTATGAGATCCTGTGTGCCTTATAAATGCTTTGGTATTGTTGTAATCCTGTTTAATACCAGGATGTTCATTTGGCGTTCTGTCCTGCGTCTGCCCGAGAATCACACTGCCTTCAGCAGCCTGGTTGACAAGGGAACGCACCTTGCCTGGGCAAAGGTGCACGAGACGTACCCCATCAAGAGCCGAAAGCTGCTCAGGGTCCTGCAGAGGTGAGTTCATTCTTCCATTTGTCAAAGTTTCGGCAGCTGTCAGAGACTAAACGACTTATTAACTCCTTGAGTTACGTTAGAGGTGCAAATGTGCACGGAATACAAAGTTCAATTTGCTTTTTTTTTTTTTAAACAGAAAAAGTCTTTGCAGGGGTGGTGTTCAAGCGTTCGATTGTTTGATTTAGGGAGTGAAATATTATGGTGGCGATTCTGTGCGGCATGTTTTTTTTTTCGTTATTAATTATTGAGTAAATCTAGTAACGACACCAAGGATTCCTCAAATGTGCCCTAGGCACTGTAGCTTGCAAGTCTGGAGAAACCTTCAGAGAGGAGACAATGAGAAGCAGTTACAGTTTTAGGGGTGGGAGGAAACCCCACAGGAACACATCTGGGGAAAGCTCACAGAATCAGGTAGGGACTGGGACCTAATCTGCACCAAGCCGGGAATCGAACCCCGGCCGCTGAGATGAGAGGCTAGAGAAGAACCATTACAATATCAATATCAGAGGGTAGTGTCATCTGATCTTGAATCTCTTCAACTGGCCGGCAACCTGCAAATGATCAGGTCTTTTGGAGGACGAAGCAGATTTGTATAAACCTGTCCGGATTGTGCGCATCACACATAATTGATCCCAACGGCTTTTTGTCCACATCACGGAATATCCAATGGCCTGGGGCACCCTAGGAACACCAAAGAGAGTTAACTGAAGAAAATTCAAATCTCACTCACTTAACCGTCAAAATGTCAAGATCATGAAACAAATGATATAGATTTCGGCCGTCAGCATTCTGTGGATTCTCAAGCGGACAATAATAAAGTCTAGTAGGAATTCCTTGTCGCTAATGCAGCGGGTCACTTTTCACTCCCCTCTCCTCACAGGACCCTGTCTGCCCTGGCCCACTGGTCGGCCATCTTTGGGGAGGCCGACTACCTGCCGCTCTTGGCGTTCCCCTTTGTGAAGCTCTTCCAGAACAACCAGCTGATTTGCTTTGAGGTCATTGCGACCGTCCTTTGTAAGAGTGCCTTTTTATTTGTGAACTTTTTTGGGGGGGGAAGACAGTACTTTCTCAGCGGGTCATCTGCCTTTAATTGGTGTGACTTGCTCTAATCTTCTGAACCTATATTTTGAGCGTCCGAAGTCTGTTGATGGACTGGGCCATTTGACTTGGTTGACTGTTGCTCATTTGCACATTCAACCAAGGGCTACAGAATTTGCCATTTGCAAGGATAAATTCCTTGGCCAAAGTATTTTCAGGGAAACCAGGGCATGTCTGAAACACTTTCACCACATTGTGCCGGGGGCAGTTATGAATGTTGATGATGCTGTGACTAGATAATTTTCATTTTTCTCTGTTTTCAAATTTCTTTAAAAGTCATATCTTCACTTACAGGACACTTACACCCACACAAAGGACTGTCTGGTTTCTGCTTTATTCTGACAGACAACATCTATTGACGCTGGAGTATTTAAGCCAGGCCTGCCGTCTTGTTAAAAGAGTCCAGATTGTGCGGTGTGACGTAATTTTTTTTTTTGTTCATGAACCTGGCACAGTGTGCTGTTGACCTCTTTTCAATAGGGGCCAGATTAGCATGCAGCGGTGCTGTGTGGCTCATCGCTGCGGTGGTGGAGCGCTTTTGTCCCCGGTGGTAATCCGCTCGCACTAAACAGTGGTATACTGTTTCAAAACAAGGCTGGATTTTCTCTACTGTTGAGAGTGAAAAAATGTCGGTAATTCCCAGCAGCCTGGTCTTGTGCTCCGAGTACAGTCTTTTGTTACAAGGCCCAGTTCCCTTTGTCCGATTTTGGAAACCCTGGCTATGCATACAGAGAATATGTGCCTGAAACCGGGCTCCCCGGGGGCAAGTGGTTAATCTGTAAATAAAAAAACCAAACATGAAAACCCGCCCAAGGTTATATGCTCATGAGCTGCGATGCAGTCAATATGGAGATTCTAACAAATGGAAGCAAGCGGCATATTTAGCCAACTGTTCTAGAATTAAACATATCTCATTCTTGTTTTCCAAAGGTAGGCACGCCAGTCTAACGTCCAGATGAGATTTCAGCGCATACAGCAATGGACCGCTGCAGTGTTTAAACAGAGTTCAATGGCAGTCAACGATTCCTCCAATCACCGCTCTCACACCCCTTTCTGATTTGCCTCCTCGGACAGGTAACTGGTGCCAGCTATGGTTTGAATACTTCCCCAACCCTCCTGTCAACGTCCTGTCCACGGTGGAGAACGTGCTGGCCTACCACGACCGGGCCGTGCTGCAGCATTTCGTCAAGTACGGCGTTACCTCGCAGGTATTAGCCCGGGCAGATGCTCCTACCGCAGGGATAGCAAAGATCTGTCCCGGAGGATGTACAAATGTGTATTTTTAGAGTTGAAGGAAAAACGAGGAGTGATGCTGTTTTCTGCTTTTCAAGAATGCAAATATACTTCACTTTTATTTTATCTGACGTATTTCTGTTTAAAGCCATTTCAGTCTTTTAAAAATGATTTGAAATTGTGTGGTTAAAAATGAAGATTATTATTGTAACTATCGAACATTTCTGGTAATGAAACCAAGGATTCCTCAAAAGCGCCCTCGGCATTGTAGCTTGCAAGCCTGAAGCAACCTGTAAAGAGGAGACAGTGAGAAGCAGTTACAGTTTTAGAGGTGGGAGGAAAACCCCAGAGGAATATTCTGGGTCAAGCCCACAGAATCAGGTAGGGACTGAAAACCCAATCCACATGTGGACCAGGCTGGGATTGGATCCCGAGCTGCGGGGGTGAAAGGCAAGTAAAGAAGCACTTCGCTGACCCAACTCCCCCGAAATAATACTTCAGTTGGAGCACTGTAAGCATTAATTTGATCACATTGTTTGAAGCGAACTGAATATGTAACTCCTGACGGATAACCTGTATCCAAACTCATTTCATTTGGCAATCTCTGGATATTTCTCAAACCACATCGCGCACCTCAGATCTACGCCTGGCCGCTACTGCAGACCCTCCTGTCGGAGGTCGTCACCAAGGAGGAGTGGCAGGTACTGTGGGACAACGTCTTCACCAATCCCCCGGCATTCTTGCTCCTGGTGGTGGTGGCCTACATCACCTGCTCCCGGCAGCCGCTGCTGCAGTGCACCGACATAGACGACTTCAAGGTGATAATCCCCAGAACGGCGCTCCAGTCGTCTCTTGTAGATCCGTTTCCTTGAACGTTATTCCCCAAGGCTGGGTAGAAACTTAACCTGCAAGAGGATTTGGGAAAATGGAGTAAAAAGACTCCTTATTGGCTTTATTCCCAATCGGCCATCTTGAATCCAAAATGAGGCGATCTCTGTCAGAATTTTCCCATAACTGAATGTGTGGGAACGAAGAGGTAATGCAGTGGAGCAAGACCAGTCACACAAATCAGGTCGAACGGTGAGGAAGGATTGTTTGTGGTGCAGTTCATTTGAGTAACCTTACTTGAACGCAGACTGGCGATCTCGTGTTGGGCTTATGATGGTCTCACGAGACCTAGTGATGATCCTAAGAGGTCTCTCTCACCCACAACACTGCAGAAAGGACCGAGTCCAACATGCTTATAACCTTTTTCCAGTGAAGAGAAAACAAACTCGTGTAACTGTCTGCATCAAAGTACTATGTAGCACCATCAGAGGTCATACGGTTGATGACGACTGATTTTGATCGGATGTTATAAATGCTGAGGTTTTCTTCTTCTCATGTTCTTCCTTCCTACTGTTTAGTACTTCTTCCATCATCGTAACGCCGTCCACATCGCTACAGTGATCAGCGAAGCGTATCGACTGTGGGACAGCACCCCCGCAGATATTCACCCCAAGAGGATGCTGGAGGACTTCAAGCCGCTCACCAAGGGGCAGTACCCGATATTCAACAAATACCCAAAGTTCATCGTAGACTATCAGGTATGCGGAAGAGCAGTTCCTGAGTGAACGTTAGCGGCCGTCAACCACTGTCTGCCTTCCAGACCCTGGATTCGTTGAGTTGAAGACTTTCACTGTGAGACTCCCCAGGCGAAAAGAAATTGGACAAATTCTGTCACTGTTACCCACTGTCAAATATTGTGCACTTCTGGGGTCCAGCACGTGCAGGTAACATAACTTTAAGCTTCATGAGGACCCTCTCTCTTTCTAAGAGAAGGCATGTTTAAAAATTTCGCATTAAAAGGAAAGAGAATGACGGCAAAGATTGACAGGATACCTTTGGGACACAGTAAATTTGAATAAATTTGAATAAATTTGGATAAATTTGGATAAATTTGGATAAATTTGAATAAATTTGGATAAATTTGTGACAAGGATCAGGTTTTTTACAAGTTCGTACTAGACGGGAATGAAATGGTAGGGACACTGTACACATCTTTTTTCACAAAGCAACGACGGATATTTTTTTCCTTTGAATCAAGGCCCAGGAACGCGAGCGGATCCGGCAGGACGAGCTGGAGTACCTGCACCAGCGCCAGGCGGCGGCCGAGCTGCAGCGAGAGTTGGACAAGCGACAGGGGGAGGAGGCGGCCTGGTACCGCCAGCAGGCGCTGCTGAGAGAGGCCGAGGAGCAACGCCGGAGCCTGGTGGCCGAGGAGGAACAGAAGCTTATAGACCAACGGGTCAGGTGAGGTTTGCACCTTCACAAAAGGGTCAGCTGCCAATCTGACAAACCTTGGCACAACTTTGCACCGTACTTACGGTCAATTTCATGAAAAGTTAATCCGGTGCGCAACGTTTTGATTATATTAAACTGAAATTTTTCTTCCATGTTTTGCCTTTTTATACACCAACTAATGCAATAAAATGAGGTTCTAGTCAAGTCGCACCACTGCAGAAGTTTTGGGCAACCAGCTGGAAGTGAGGATTGTTCCTCACAGATGTGACAGTTTGATGGTAGGATTGTATTTATTTGGGGCGCTACCATTACGGAGATCCTCTTGGACCGTGTGGTTTTATTTGAGGGGAGGGGAGAGCGTTACAGACATTTGCTAACTTCTTCCAAGGCCTCTGTATCTCCGCCCGTTTATCATCAGATTGCAAGCGATGAGGCGCGAGTTGCGAATACGGGAGCTGCAGCTCCTGGACGCAGCCAAGCGGAAGTTCATGCATCACCAGCAGACGCAGAAGGAAGCGGAGCTCGGCCGGCTGGACGACGAGATAGCCCGCAAGGTAGGAACGCTGTCGCTCAGAATGTTTAGATGAACAGGTCTAAACCAGTAGACTGACTGTCGTTGTTCTGGTCTGATGTCAGTGGGTAGTTGGGAGGATTTGGTGGTTCCTCCCTGGGGTCCATCCGGTGATATCAGTGTGATTCTTGCCAGCGATGTGCCCGTTAATATTTTAAAGACTTCATCTTAATGAGTCAGATGGCCAAGGCTGCTGTTCTGCAAGGTTTTTCTGCTGGCTCTAAAATTGGCAATGCCTTCTTCGTCTTGCATTTCAACACTGTGACTAACAAGAACATCACCCACAGCACCGATTATGATTGGTAAGGACCAGTAATAGATGAGGAAATATGATTTCAGCCGTGGTAAAAACAGAAAGTCGTTGTCCACCATGTTCTGTCTGACTCAACTGGCGCGGTTAGTTTGAATCTGTCAGCAGGTGTTTTTTAGCAGAGATGGATTATCTTTGGCACAGAATCTACTGCGAGAGCAAGAGACCAAGGCGGCGATGGACGATGTGGAGATCCGACGGATGGAGCTACAGGCCCAGAAACAACTCCTGGAGCAGGTGGGTTCAGCCGATTGCTCGTGAGGGGTGTCGTACACTCCCAGGACGTAAATGATTGACTGGGTTGTGTAGACGCATCAAAAAAATCACCAAGGATCTAAACTGTTGCAGCTGTGAGTAGGCACCGTCGATATTGCATTTTTGACTGATACCGATATATCGGTTTTTTATATCAATATTATCGATATATCAAGTTTTATTCATTTTAATTTTGAAGGTATTATAACGGGTGAATTGTTCAAAGGATACACCTCTACACCGTAATGGTGTGATCCAATTCACCTTGGTGACATGTTGTAGCATCCGTATTGCTGTTGCCTACATGGGATGGGATACTCGCTGCTGTGCATAGCGATATCATCAGCATGTGGTGCTAGTCTACGTGTGTTTGGTTAGCAAATAATTGTGTTTTGGAGGATAAATTTAGCGATATTTTCACGGCAAAGTGTATGCGAATTATTGAAAGCGAGACTGAGATAGACGACTGAATTTATTCTTCAAATGTCGCCGTATAAGCTGCCTAGCTTAGAAGCTACAGGGACTTTTTCACTCAGCATAAGAATCAATGTAAGCTGTGGCTTATTGAAAATTGCGGTAATGTGACGATGTACTTTGATATTTTTTTAATAAAGATGGTTCCTCAGTAGCGATATTTTCGATGTGTTTTCAATATCGATGTTTTTGAAGTATCAATATTTTTGATGTTTCTCCAACATCCGATATTTTTGATATATCGATATTACCAAATACCTAACACCGGCAATATCGATATCAAACCCATATCGATATATTGACGGTGCCTAGCTGTAAGTAAGATGAAACTGTCTGCCTTTTGCACAGGACCTGGCAAAGAGTTTGGCCAACACCACGCACCAGGAGCGAGCAGACGCCGATGCCTACCGACGCCAGGCTGAGCTGGAGGAGAGAGTCAGGAGGAGGGCCTGGGAGGACATGCAAGATCAGCAGCACACGACCAGAAAGGTAGCTAGAGACAGACTGCCGCAGACACTGATCAGTATCCCTGTGGAGAGGTGTCGCTCTTGGGGCCATCAGTACCTCCATTTTGGGCCGGGCGAGGTGTCTCCAAACTCAGGTTCCAGCAAGGCTGGCGTTGGACGTTGTCAGTGCACTTCCAGCACTTGAGTCAGCCTGGTATTCGGTAAAGACGTTGTGTTTGTTCCTGACTCACTTGGATTGAGCCGGTCACCGGTGCTGGGCAGCTGCCCACTGGTGATAGCTGGTCCCTTCCTTAGAGGCTTGAAGGTCACTATAACCCCCTTTGGTAGTCAAGTAAAGCAGTAGTGCTATTTAAGGTTTGGGTGACCCATGATATCCACGTTGGATCTCTATGGTCAAATTGTTTGGTTCTTGTCCGGGCCTGAACGATTCTGCTCTGGTCTAAATCAGTGTTTTTGTTCATCCAAATGTCCTGGAGAGTTTATTGCACCTTGATTAATAGTTGATTAATTTATCTTTATGCCATTTGAGTGGTTGATTGAAAAAGTAAGAAAGTCTGGTCTTAAAGAAGCAGGTCAACAACTCTCTCTGCCGGAAAATTTTGTTGAACCATCGATGGAATTTTTTTTTTACACCGGGGAGATGTACATTTGAATATTTGTTTTATTTAATAGCCTGATGCTTTATTTTACTTGAATTAATTGAGAAATGTTGTTGAGAGATTTGAAGAAGAGTTGCAGGGTGTTTTCTTTGTTTCACTTGGGAAACAGCAACTCCAGAGCGACATAGCCAAGGCAGAGGAGATGAGTGACGAGGCCGGTCTGAGGAGGGACTCGGAGTACCGCAGGAGAATGGACAACCTGGAACGAGAGCTGAGGGGCTCGGAGGTAGGATGACCTCAGATCGCCGGGCGTGATGGGTTGAGAGGCTGCCTGATTCTCTCAAAAGCCATCACGTTGCTGTAAAAAGCCCACTCACATCTTCCTTTGGCTGCACAAAATTGAGACATCTGGCCTGTTGCAAAGTAGTTGGGTATGAATTTGTATTGCCAAACCTTGATGTGAAGTTCAGTCGGTGGGACTGATCTTTCATCCCCAGAGAACGCTTGACGTTTTGGTATTACCTGTGAGAAGAGCCTCACTTATTGGTGCATTCTCTGGTCAGGTCTGGTGGATAACGTAGTCTGAAGTCATGCTCTTATTTTCTATGCAATGCCTTCAGGTTACAAGACTTCACCAGGAGAATCACAGACTTGAGGAGGAAATCCAGTCCATCATGAGAGGCATTGCCGACAGGAAGGTAGGCGGGTTTACTAAATAATGGTGAAGAGAATGGATTGGATTTGTAGACAAGTTCCCAAGTTTGGATGTCTGTGGTGCCCTCGAGGAATCGTTTCTGACCGAGGTCCAACAGTTTTTTCGCCGTTGCAATCTGGGTGGTGCACTGGTTTGGCTTCGTAGAAATTCCTCCTGAATTCTCCACTAGGGAGATTAGCGAGGAAGCCTTTGGGAGAGCGGAAACTAATTCCATTTCAGGGGGTTATTGCAGTGTACGTTGTAGTCGTCTGAAGTTTTGGCTGAAAACTGCGGGTTAAGGCGAATCAGTGATGGCCTGATGGAGATTTTTTATACTTTTATAGGTTTTTGGATAAAACAAGTGGTGAAATGCAGACGATGACATACGGGGTCGCTGAAATTGTTGACTGTTGTCCCTCATTGGCCTGTCGAGATGCAAACTAGTATCTATTGTGATTATGTGACGGCTGATTTTGAATAAGTTTGTGACCTGATGGGTATGACGTCTCAACTGGAAGGTATCCCAATTTGATTTGGAAGGTTTCCAGTCGGAAACTTAAGTAGTGTCCAACTGGAAACCATCATTAGGTACAGCTTGACTTGATTTCACGCTTCAACATGGGCCTGTTTTGAACCCTGAACAGAATGGGAGTGCTGTGTTATCCTAACGTGCAAAATCCTTGATAAGTGAGCACCTCCGATTCTTATGGTTTGCATTTAAAAATTTTTTTTCAAGGTGTTGACTTCCCTCATCAGTGGTGGATAAATTCGACATTTCCAAGTACTTTTTTTTTGATATAAATTACGATATATATTATTGTAATTCCATTTAGTACTTTCTTAATATCAGTGGAAGCTACTTGTCCGTATCCATGACATTTTGCACGGTCAGTCTCGAATGGAGAAGTAAAATAGGCTGCCAACAGATTTCCTCTCGTTTTGAACTTGCAGCTGGGAGAGGCGAAAGGGAAAGTGGCCGAATTCCACCAGCAGAGGGCGCTTTCCACTGCCCATGATGAACAGCTAGCAAAACTCGGTCAAGGTACACTCAAGTTGCCAAAGCTGACTTTGGCACATTTGATATTCTTGACTGCTCAAAGGCGCTAAAATTTTGATTCTCAGGCATATTGTCTTTTCGGCTTTGAATTCAACTTGGGGTCTCTACATCTTTACTTTCTGCCAAATGAGGCTTGTTAAAATGTCCAGAAATATATGACAAAATCACTTTTCTTTGCTTAATTTTTGTATTTCCTTTTTTGACAGGTCAGGTCACAGGGGCTGTAAACCTTAACAATAGTTCGACGAGGAGAAAAGCCTTGAACGACTTCAGTAGTTCTGAAGAGGACGACATTCCCAGTCTGTAAACGAGTTCCGTCTTACAAACTTGTCTTGTGGAGCACCTCAAATGTCCATTAACGCAAGATGTTCATCTGGTCAATGGCTACTAAAATTGAATCCCCATTTGTGCAGTTTGTTGGTCACGGTGTTGACGATGTCCATGACGTATTCAGTGCTTGAATGAGCACTGATAGACCTTGTGACTGGCTACACTGGACTAATTCAAGTCCCATTAAAAACGGTGTAAAATCAACAAAGTTCGGAACCCCTTTGCGGGCAACTGAAATTCCTGAGGCCTCTCTCTCTCAAAAAAGTGTTTGTTGGGTCCTTCAGATTTCAATTGATTTCCAAATTTCAGTAAGTTATCCAATCAGATTTTTAATTTATCCACCAAAAACAAACCCACCCACCCCCCGAAAAAGACATCCCTCCACCTTCTCAGGCTCTTTGGACAATTTTCTGCAATAACATTTTTGTCTGCCTTGCCCCTCGAATGGGAGCCCTTGAATCTAGAGAGTTGATCCTGGGCTGTAATAACACAATCCCACCATCTCTTGGGCCACACAAAACTGTAGGGGCACTTTTTAAGCGCCTTGGCCCAGTACAAAATTTGCCTTGAAGTGGGACAGTGCACCTTGATCCGCGAGGAAGCCATTTTGATCTTATTCCCTGAATCTGTTGTATAAGATGTACAGCGTTCAGTGGCAGGGCACCAGATTATTTTATGATGGGCGTGCATTCCAAGCCTCCTGTTTACAATTTTTCAAAGTCTGGTTTAAAGCATAAACAAGATCAGGAAATAGTCATTGTAATAGACAGGTAATAATTTGTGATGAAGCTTCATTTTAGCACTTTTATTTTTTTCTCTCAAGTTTCCAGAATGAAGAGTCAACCGTGCTTTCATTTTCAATGTTGCCAACTCATGAATAAAATTGTGCGTCTAGCCATTTAAACCACTTTTGGGTCTGCTTATTTTGTAAAGAACATGTAGATATGATAACCTTTTTCTCCATTATTCGCTTTTTTTTCTTCCTAGTTTCTCTGGATCGAGGGAGGGACACCTTTGAGCAGCGGGAGAAGAACCTGATGAGGCAGGTCCAGGAACTCCGGAAGAAGATCGCCATGGAGACCAGACAGCAACATCCTCCGCCGTCCTTTGATGTGGACGGTGGGGGAAGTGATCGGGACTAACCAGTGGACTTGCTCCGGTGGACAAAACACCATACTGCATTTTTTCAATTCACCGTACAGAGGGCTCTGTGAACTTAGGACTTCTGTTGAAAAATATGGCAACTTTGAATTGTAAGACAAAAGTGGTAGGCCAGTGAAGAATCCCGCGGGAAATGGTCAGTTGGTGGAGTGATTGTGCGTTGAACCCAGAGATTTGACCCAGGCATGAATTCTGCCCATGTACTTTGCGCAGGCATCATTGAGGTTGTTGAGTAGCATAATTCTGGGATAATTCACGTCCCAGTCTCTTGGGTGCAGATGAATATAACATGCTCTTGGAAGCCAGTGGCTAACGGCTGCCAGTCACTTGCCATATGAACATATGTTACTGTCATCCACAGCCATTTAAGGGGACACAAAGTGAAGTCATTCCAGCACTGTGGGACAAAGAGTGGAATGACGCAAATCTGTCCACAGGTGGTAGAAGTACTGACCTGCGTATGATGGGTGCACAGCATCTGCCTATGGCTTTTCGTCCGAATGAGCACAAAATTCTACGGAAATCAAGCAATTTCACCACCAGAAGGGGTACTTTGCTCACTGAGCACATTAGCCATCCACTGTTGCATGCTCTTGGTGTCAGAAAATGATTCAAATGGCACCCGAAATATTGCATCAATGAATGCTTGTTCTTTGCTTATACGCTACTTGTAACGATTTAAACAAAAAAACCACCACATTTGGAGCTAATTTATAAGTAAAATTGAAACTATGCTTTTTCCAATCCAGTGCTCTGAACTCCCTGCTTGCACATATTACTGTATATTGTAAATGCGGTTGCAGTTTCGCACATTTAGTTTGCACTGGATGAGATCTGTGAAATTCAGGGTTGAAATTCTGCATTGGTCTGTTTTCTGTTATCTTGCTTTGAAGTGTTTTTACACTAACGCGGTATTTGAATACCAACTCAGATTGCCCATTTCTTCGGCCAGACTGTGTCTACAAGAAATGACTGCATGTGTGTTTACATATATGTACAAAACCAGCACAGAGTCTTTGGATCTGGCGATTTTCCGTCCAGTTTTGGAAACTCTTAAGTCCAGTTTATACAATTGAGGTTGGAACGCTCAGCTTATCTCTGACCTCTGAGGAACTCACGACGCCTGGGATCGCTAACGATTTTGAAAACGTGTTCTCGCAAACTCCATCAGTACAATAAACAGCAGCATGAGGAGCTGTCCCGTCGCAGCGCACGGTCAAGTCGTCAATATCGGCACCCTTGCTTCCGTTATAGCTGTCACTGGGAATCTCACACACCCGGCCGTTTGGATGGTTGAAGTTGCCAGCTGCGTCTGGTAGGAGACTAGGTCCGGCCGAGGCTGGCTACGATTTACCCTGTCGGTACTGGCTGACGGGAGCTGCGGAGCTTCAAGTATGAAAGAGAGAAAAATAAAAATTTCATCATCTTTGGAATGATTACGCCTTTGTTACAGCGATTGGTTGTCGTTTGTAACAGTTGGTATAGACGTACAAGAGAGATGTTACTGGAATACTCACCGAGTTGGAGTCTTGGGGGTGTAGTTTAGCTGGGGGGGGGGTAAATGAAATATGAAGCATAACAAACAGCAATTAAGAAGAAAATTGTGCATCAAACTCAAGTCCAAGTCACTGATTAGTCACTGACTGCTCAAATAATCTTCTAAATTGTTAACACCCATGCGTTGTGGAAGTCGGGGATGTTTGGAAAAGTACCCCCAAGGCCCCCCGTCTTTTAGACTTTAATACAAGATTGTATACAATACCTGAATTGGTCTCCTAGCCTGGTCGCTCTGAGAAGATTGGCTCAAACTGAATCTTGTGCTGCCTACAACCCCACCCCCCATATAGCAAAACAAGACAAAATCAGTCACAGCACTTTGATAGCATGTCCGAGAAGCAAATGAGAGAAATCGAACCATGGACAGACCAACTAGGGACTGCCAAGAGTAAAGGTCAATGTGATATTTACTGTTCGTATTTATTCCTCAAACCAATACTTTGACTTGATACGCATAACTGAGTATTTTTGTTGAATGTGAATATATTTTACAAACCTTGGGAGCAGTCGTTGTGGAGCTGAGAAGACCGGAAATTGCTAAAGGAAGAAAAGCTGGAAGTGAACACAAAAAAATGCTCGTGAATTATGACCAGGAATATTGATAATTGAAGTTTGATTCCATGTCCATTTGTAAGTCATCAACAACTGAAAAATTTCTTGTAGCTGAAATGTAATTTTCTAACTTTGCAAAAGTCATTTACTTTCAAACGGGAAATCAAAAACTTCTCGTGATCGGTACCAGCAATTAAAAGTTAAATGTTCATAATTCCAGCTGAGATACAATGTGTAAACTCGCAAAAACATTTCAACAGAATTGCAGATAAGTGAACTTTGAATTTTTGAGAAAAACAAAGGAAATTCCCTAGTTTGATGACTTATCCTTAAATGATGAAATGACAACAAAAGTCACACATTTTTGGTTGGAATCTGACAATCATGGGATAAGATTTTTGATGTAAGAAAACTTTTCCGTCTACAGACCTATTGGAAGCCGGGCTAACATTCATGGGTGAGGAACGACCCGGGGTTGCCATGCCAACCACTGCCCCGGGAGTATTGGCTGACCTAGAGGTTCAAAATGCCAAATAAATGAGAACAAAAACGAAATAAATCAAAATAATTACTTGACGGGCACCCTTGCACTTTCAAAATCAAATTCGAGATTGGACGCTGACTCATGTTTGACAGCTTGCTGGAGACGAATCCAGCAATGTTTCACTGGACAGTTCTTAATGACCTTCTTTAATGGTGGAAAGCAATGTGTAGGGTTTATGAACAGAGTGACAGTAACTTCATGTAATAAGTTATCTCAGTGGTTACCGCCATTGGTGGGGGCCACTGCTGCGATAGCGTTACAGTGGTTACCATATTTGCCTATATTTTCTGCATTAGCTCCAAGTTCTGATCCAAATACTGACAATGCAGGAAACCTACAAAAAAGGAACCTTCTAAACAAAAAAGGCTTCTCAAAATCTCATCGGCATTAACCATTTTACCTTATCAAGGTGCCAGATGGGGTAAGAGTCATATTCCCCTGGGTGGGGGTGCCGACCGTTCCTGAAAACAAATGCACCGTAGAAAAAATGAATGAAAGGTTCTGCGAAATGAGCCCCTGATATGTGGTGAGGCGTTGGGGTTGTTGGAACCGTGTCCAGATGGGGTGTGTCCGAGTCTGTTCAGGTCCCAGAGATGTGGACTCACCTATCCTTCCGTTGACGGGCGGTGTTCGGATACTCAACCTAGCTGGGCCTGGTGGGGTCCTGGTGGGTGTCATTGGTTGCTGTGTAAATAAAGACTATAGTTATTCTAGCGAGACTTCTTCAGTCACCAGACTAGCCAGTTGAACCCCTCTGTATCTTTTTATAACAGGCCTTCCTTCCCCGACTTTGGTACTTTAAAAACTGTGTCTTTCATGAAGTATTTTGGTGTGTGTTGGGATTAAGAATCATTAAAGTGACTAGAAATAAGGGCATCTTAAAGGTGTTTTGGGGAAATTCTCCAAAAGGTTTCCACTTCCCAACAAACATTCATGCCCTTTCCTCTCTCCTCACGTTCCCAGTTAGATTACCATTTTTTATTCAACCGCAACTTCGTCACCGCTTTCTTCCCATAACATTTCATACTGTTCTCGCATACACACACTGTTCTCGCATATCCTACTTTTACTGAGGAACCGAATGCATCATAGTCATAACTCACAGACTGGGGTGTCTTTGACGTTTCCATTTGCTGAATATGCTGTGATCTGCAGTGCGGTGAGAAAAATTATCCCGAGAAAAATGAAAGGAAACAGTCAGAAACCAAGACTTATTTCTTGGAGAGAGGGTGTTGCATTGATATTCGAAAATCAATACTGTATTTTAAAGGATTGGTGTGAATGTGATATCTACCGAAAGCAATAGTAAGTCATAAATTGCATTTATGAAGTGCTTTGAACAGGCATTTCTAAGCGCTATTAAAAACTTGAATAAGTGTATCAGAAGACTGATAATCCCCAACTAAGGGAAGATTTTGGAGTTAATTTGGTTTGGAAGACATTTGAGGTAACCCTACCTTCCGTATGGTGATGACGACCTACTGATGGACTGGGAGGAATTCTGATGAACTGCAAATAAATCAAAATTCAACAGAAATATGTCGGACCGTGAGCACCAACATTTTGTCCGTATTGGAAAATGTTATAGCCTTCAAAATATTACACTGGTACAAAAACCACCTAAAATCTCGTGTCTTGAATATAACTGTAAGACTAAACCGTGGCAGATGGTTGGATTTCAACAAAGACACATTTCCGCCGATTTGCATCTCTGTCGGAGAGTGGATAAATAAGAAACGCTGAACATACCCATGTTGCGCACCTTTGGTGGGATGCTGGAGTTTGCCAAAACTTGACCAGGAGTGCTAGATCTAAGGGGTTAAAATTTCAGTACTTCTAAAACTCAACAACATACGTTAATGTGCAAAGAGCTGTATGCAGTTTTAGCATTCTCAGATGAAATAAGCATTTTGAGGTACGAAAGAGAAATTCCAATTTACGTAGTATTTTTTTTCTGTTGTCGAAACATATTGAAAATCGGTCCAACTGTTCAGGGATGGCTTTAAATGCTGGTTCCTGGTTGGCTAACATTTCCCGTTGCTCATAATGATACCTGTAAACTTTTGCAGCACCCCCTGGGCCAGGCGATCCGCTCACCAGCCGTCTCAGCTTACAATTTTCCTCTTGCAGACGGAGGACCTCCCTGATTTTGGGAAACGGCAGCGGAGAAGCCAGTGAAACCTTCAAGAATTATTGCCTCAGGTTATGCCACATTCAATTAGTTCCCCTTTAAAAATGTTTAGCTTTAGTTTAGAGTTGTTGGTTTTTTCAGTAGTGTGCCCCCCTGTTTATGTTTAAAGACCAGCTTCCCCCTTTACAATGTAGTCACATGCTCTGACCACACTTAGTTTGAAGAGCAGACCAGAAGAGACACAGTCACTGTTCATGTATTTCCCCCTAAATGGAGTGTGCGTTTCTGCTTGAGTCAGGTTTCTGTCAGCTTCTATGAGGCAGTGATCGAAAGCCAACCTCTCCTCCTTAGACAAAAATAAAATATACATTCAGTGCTCTGAACTATGTAATTGCCAGAACCCAGTTACCGAAAGCTCGGCAGTTAATAATTCAGAGCACTGATTAAATTATATTTTTGTCTCGATTCTGATCACGGTGCTACGCAGCCCTTTCGTATTTCTCTCATTCTTAGATCTATGGGACACACTGTGTTGATTTTTAGTCCTTATGGTTTTTGCTTTTTTTTGGTTCTTTTCTTTCATAAATTCTATCAGTGCCTGGGTCCTTATTAATTTAGTTTCCTGCGACTTTTCCCTCAAAGATCCTTGGTTTAGTTAGAGATTTATGTTGTTTGCGAGTTCCCCCATAGCATGTCCTTTTTCCTGGTTGGGAAGTCTGAATCATTTAAATAGCAAAGTTGTATGGATTGACCATGACACCGACACATTTCTTGACTTTTTTTTTCCGTGATCTTCAAATTTATGACATGGCTGACCGTTCCAAGTCCCTGGCTTGATCCAGTTGTCGCACTGTCATCTGCATTCTTGACTGCATCTTGGCCTCCTTCGAATTATATGAATAAAGAACCAAAAACAGCTGCAATGAGCTGGTTCGAAATCTCAAAAAGCCAAGGTCTTTCCAAAACAAAGTCAGCATATGGCTGCGCTGATAGGACAGACTATAGTGCACCTGCGTAGGCTGTTCCCGAATAGCCTGGTACCCTGCATGCACTGTTGGGAATACCGAACTAGATCATTACATTACTCCGAAGTACCAAAATTGATCTGCACAAAAACTTTGCTGTATTCCAAACTGAGCTACTTAACGGATAAACTCGTTTGGCTTCGTCTTGTACCTGGTCTCTTTTGTAAGCAGCAAGGCGTTGGCTGTGATTTCTCTGAAAATCCATCACCTACAAAACAAACCCAAATAGAGGGTGAATATCGTTCTGATAATCAGATTACTTTCTGACTCGCTATAGGGTCCAACTTGCAAGAATACACTCAGTCGTGTTGTTTCCCTGAGGCGTCACTTTGTGGTCTTTGTTATTTTGAACAAAACAACAATTCTTCTGTCTCCAAGTCCAAGAGGGGGTGGCAGAAGCTTTGAGTGGGACAGGGGTAGCAACTCACCCTCGGCTACACAAGTTGTTATTGTATTTTATTTATTGGTTATTTCAACTTGTTCATTTTAATAAATATAAGCAGAACTGATCACATTTGCAGCAAAGGAAATGGTACCAGACATAACAAGTAAATTGTCACTTAAATACTTCAATGAAGTGTACAGAAAAGTGGAGGTTCTTGAGAAAATTGATTTTAAATTTTTTGGGGGAATGTCATGCACAGTACATTTGCTTTCAATTTGAAAATACATTTTTTCTCGATAGCAGGGGTGATTCTGGGGAGATTTAACTTTTTTTTAATCAGACAACACACCTGCATCAACTGCTTGTGCTGTTTCCTGGCAATCTCGTGAGGACTTTGGAAGAAAATCTCCACGTCTGGCTTCATCTTTACAGGAAGTAATCATGAGAAACAAAGTTACGCAACAAATTCCCTCTTATTTCTCTGGAGAACTTGCATGAAAAGTAAATATAAGCATGTGGGCGAATGGCAACTCACAAACTTGTAGATTTGCTTAGTTTATTCCAGGTCATGTAATGTACAATATGGAGGGTTTGCACGGCTGCCATCTTGCAGGCCAATGCTTTGGTTGCACACGCTATACACAAAGGAGGTTTCCCTGAGGAACAAGAAAACAGCCCTGCAAGATGGCTACCGCGCAAAGCCTCTGTATCTTTCTGGTCATTCAGACATGTACTGAAGTCCAGCATCAGAATTTGAAAACTGACATACAAAATGGTGAGTTTCTTTATGTTAATTTTGTTGTCGTGGCAATTTAAAATATGCTTCAGTATTGTATTCAGAAACAACATGTATGTGTCAATTTTAATTCAGGTTTTTACAATTTACCTTGGATGATAATTCTATTGTTGTACAGTGACTGCCACACGTATGGCACTGATTTTTTGATCCTAGTTAAAAAAAAAGAAAGGGATGAACATTATCAGTAGAGTATTTCAGCCATCGGATATTTCAAAATTGGTTAGATTTTCATATGCAATTTGCAGTCTCTAGAGTAATTTCCCCATAAAATGACTAGAGCATGCTTTGGTAACTTTGAGTACATGCAGGGAGATGGTGTCGAAATGTTTTTCTTTACGTTATTAGCCTAGATGGGAGGTGATCACATCTAAAGCTTTTAAATTGCTTACACTGAATGATTTAGGTTTTGGTTGGGGATGTTGGTTTTCTACCAGCTTTTGCCCTTGTCCTCACCGATTGGTAAATTTGTTTTGTGAGTTTGTGACTGAGGTAACTTACAAGTTGTAGCAAATGCATCAATCAAATGACAATGACTAAATGTCCTATCTGCGATTACAGGATCAATGATGACAACTATGAACAAGTGGTGAATCAGTACATCAAGGATGGGAGTACCCTCTTGGATGCAGCCATCACAGAAGATGTGAGCACAATTTGTGAGGAAGAACTTCTTCCCTCCACCTGGCTGGAGAAAGCATTGATTGCAGTGCACCCAATCTGCCATCATGAACTAGGGGCCTACCCAGACACCTAAAACAAAGATGGATGAATACACAATCAGAGAGCAAAAATAAATTGAGAGGAAAAAAATCATTTCTCGCAAAAGTTTTAACCTGTAATCAGGAAGTTAAATTGTGACAAGGCCTAAGTTAAGGTCTACTACAAATAGAGACGAGAGGATTTAAATTTCCATCTCGCAATTCTTATGCTTTTTATCACAAAAATGTAGACCCGAAACAGGGAAATTTGTGATCGCTTCACCCGACATAGCCTAGCGCTAGCCTACATGTAACGTTTGGCCTCAAGCATGTAAAAAAATCCGAATGACAAAGTGAAAGACGGAGGACCGATTTTTAGCTAAAAACAATTCCATAAAATACTTTAGTTGCTGACAGAATTCACACATTACCTGCACAGAAGTTAAAGACGTTTTTGGAAAGCTGCCCGTGGGACGTATTCAACGATTTTTTGCGGAGCCAAATTTACAACCTCAGTATAGCGGCTGAACGACGGGTTACAACACTTGGCGTCCATTGGCATGATTGGTCGCAAGTTTTTAGCTACGCAATTTTGATGGGCACGGAAATATCGCGAGATTTGATCGCTGGTCGAGATTTGGCAGTTTCATCATCCTGTGATGGCACCCGACTATTTATGTGTCCACATTACATAGCGAAGACTGGAAGCCGCACTAATACCCTTCAGAAATAAACACGCGTGTCACACTCACAGCAGTGAAAAATAGTGAATCATCAGTTCATTACATCTGTGAACTGCTCTCCAGGCGATACAACTTACAAGGAACTGGTTTGTACCACCGTGTTATTTTTGGTCTCGTTGCCAGCCCTTGTTTGAATTCAGTATAAATACGGACAGTCTCCGTTTCTTTGCTGTAAATAGTGTAATTTACGTGTCAAGGCTTTTTAACGTCACGCATATGCGCGCATGTGAAGCATGTCAAGACGTAGTCTTAAGACTAGCCAAGACATGCAAAACTAAAAGGGATACATTTGTAAATTTGGGGACCCTGTTCCTATAGGCCCCTAATACTTTTTAACCCTCCTCAACCCTCCTTCTGTTTTAGACATGATAGAAGGAGAGCTACATTTTTGCATTTGAATTCACCTTGGTAGATGACTTTGACATCATGCTTAATCATGTCTATAACTGTACTGTAGCCTGGTGTAGGGTTGATGTCAAAAAAGGCAGGGTTAGGCCTAGCCCCACAAATAGGGCTGTACTACAGAGTGGCTCTCTTGAACAATCTGTCTCTTATCTGTCGCCACCATAGCCCTACTTCAAGGCATGTCTAGTAACTAGTAAATGCCTGAAATCCAAACTGCAGGATTGTCACAAACTTTGTTTTGAATCCTAATATCTCCCGGAATGAGAAGACTCGACAATTTTACTTACACTGGCGTATTCCTCAGAGTTTGGACTTTTATATGAGCATGCTAAAGCTTTCCAAAACCGTATATTTTCCGATGGTGATGGCGCCTTGAAAAACCCAGCCTGTAGTATTACATACTGACCACGGGCAGCGCCATTTTGATAAACGAAGGCAGCGCTTCGTTTGTCGGAAGTCAGACCCTATTTGTGGGGCTAGGGTAGGCCTAGATGGAAATTATGAGGGGAAACTGTGAGCAGGGTAACTAGCGTGACCAGATGTCCCGTATTTTATGGGATTGTCCCTTATTTTCCCTAATGTCCCTCGTCCAGTACCGACCCTTTCTGGGCCATGTTTGTCCCATATTTGTACAATTTCAACAAATTACATGAAAATACAAAGAAATTACCAGTGTGCAATGTTCTGAAGATCGCAAGCTGCTTAAGGCTGAGCCTCCCGCTAATAATATAACTAGCTAGCTCGTTGCATATGTTTGTAAATTGTACTCTGGCTCAGTCTGGATACCAAAAGTGTGCTAAATAAGTAAATCGCATGATTTGCACCCCCAATTCAAGAAAAGTTCTTAACGTGGGAGGGTGGATACCCCTTCCCACACCCACCCTCTCAGGTGCTCCGCGCCCTCGCAATGTGTGCTGTCCTGTACACATAGTGGATTCAAATTTGCATGGCTAATTTATCAGTAAGAAAGACACATTTTCTCACAATTTACAAATTTGAAATTTCCAAAAAATAGGGTCAGTGCAATAAAGAGAGTGTTGGCTTTTGGGGGGGGGGACTGACCAGTTTTGCAAGATGAAAATGATAAAAAACTGGGGGTCCCCAAGTGTACAATCCCTCATGTCGAGTGTGTATTCAGAATCTCTGTCTTGTTGGTCATCACATGGTCATGTCCAGTGACCGAGTGACTTTCACATAGGTCCTCTTCAAAAGAAAAATAGATCCCCACCTTTGCACAAGACTCAACCCAGTGGTCACAGACAGTTCCGTAGCGCACAAGTTTTGACAGTTCTGAAAAAGTGCACACTGCATCACCAGGCTGTTCAAGGTTGTGCAGGCAAATTTTGGTTAGGATTCGTCACAGTCGCATTGGGACCCATTCTCGCGGTTGGCGTGACATCACTGTGGACTTTTGACACACGGCAAAGGGGCAAATTTACCCTTTGTACTCTTCAGTAATGCACAGAAGCTCCTGGATTTCAGTCCACGAGAATCTAAAGCAGACCCAGTGTCGCGGATAGTCAGATTTTGACTTTCGTCTCTCATGTCCGTCACACTAGTCATAACTGTAGCATTAGTGGTGTGATTAACTTAATGTCATGAATGTCAACGTGGTTTTCAAATGTTTCTCTGCTTGGCAAAAATTCTGTACTAAGGCGTCACCCTCCCCGAACTATTTTGCAAGTGTTAAGCACTGATTTATGAAACCCTTACCAACAAATCATTTGAGGCGTGTTTGGAAGCTGAGCGTGTCGTAGGTGTGGATGAATTGGGGAATATTTATGCGCTATACTTCATGTGATACTGACGAAGTGGAGGCCGCCATGATTGTTACCATGAGAAACAAAACATGCGCACGAGAGAACATGAATGTGGCGCGTGAGTTACGGAATTTTTGCCTTCTGCCTAGATGTCTAGTCTGTGACTGTATGATCACCAGGCCTCAAGTCAGTCCTGTTGGGAAGTCGGGTTGGTTTTCATTCTAACAGGCAACATTGTAAAATAATACGTATTTGCTTGGGGCTGTTGTTTTGCATATATTATTAGGTGAAGAATGGTGTCATAAGTGAAAAATGGCATGACATGAATTTTGGCCGGTAATTGCGCTGTGATTGCATCAGAATCAGCAAGGCTAGTCAAGATACCAGTGTGGCAAAATGACACATGAGAACCAGCTAAATTGCATGAACTAGTACATGTATACCGGTTGATGGGGATTGGGCTCTTGCTCTTTCAGATAGCTCTCCAACATGGACGCTACACTGACTTCACAGCAGGTGCGGCAAATCTTCATAGATTTCCACGTCAACCATCCCCTATTCAAGCACGACTTTTTCCGGTCCAGCTCCACCATCCCGCTGGACGACCCAACACTGCTCTTTGCCAACGCCGGCATGAACCAGGTAGTTTTTACAGTTGGCAGGTGGTTTTTTTTGGCTTTTTAGCTCGACGCTGTAGTTGAGGTGCCACTGTCATCAGAGCAGTCGCTTTAAAATTTGAAACAATTTAGTAACGTCTTTCTCATTTTTCTGATCTACTAGTTCAAAGCGATTTTCACCGGCACCGTGGATCCGAACAGCGACATGGGCAGGCTGAAACGCGCCGTCAACAGCCAGAAGTGCATCCGCGCCGGCGGGAAACACAACGACCTGGATGACGTGGGCAAGGACACCTACCACCACACTTTCTTTGAGATGCTGGGAACATGGTCTTTCGGCGACTACTTCAAGGTCAGTTTGAGCTCATGCTTTATTTAGGGTGATGGGTATTCAAGCGTCAACCAAATTGGAGAGGTTGTCAGTTAAAGATACAATTACAAAAAGGGGAGGAAGGCATGCCCACGAAAGGGATTAGGTGTCAAATGAAGTGGAGCCCAAATATAAGCGGGCTGTACGTATAGTGACGATTTGTTTTCTTTTTAATGTCAAATTTATTAAATAACAAGTTGAGGGCAGATTGAAAAGTGGGTCAAAAGGAAACTGTGTCTACCATAGCTATCCCTAACAGTCCCAAATCCTCCGATTTCAGCATGAATTTACATACACCCTGGAGGGTAAGGGTTTAAAATAAAAGACCCCCCAAGAAAAAATTAGGGTGTGGGGTGCAGTCAACCCTCTCCCCTGGATCTGCGACTGGTTGTTATTGGATGTGATGCTGACAGGTGATTTGCCGTGGTGTCTTCTTGCCCGCAAACATTCATCGTAAAGTCCACTTCTTTCCTTCGTTCAACAGAAAGAGTGTTGCCAGATGTCGTGGGAACTTCTGACAGAGGTGTACAAACTCCCCAAGGATCGTCTGTACGTCACGTATTTTGGCGGAAGCAAAGAGGACGGCTTGGAGGAGGACGTAGAGACCAGACAGATATGGATCGACCTCGGGTAAAAACTTCTGCTCAGTCAAACTCCCCCCCAAAAAAAACATTTGCTTGTTTGAGCCCTTTCTCTGACCGGCTTATTCACAATTTTGCGTTTTTTCCCCCGTAACCTCAGTATTTCCCGTGGTGTAGTTGAGACCTCTTAAGACCAACACAAGACCCCACGATAGCAACACCAGACCTCCAGTCTGAATTCAAGTCCTAAGCTGTTCACATGAACTGCCACAAAAGCATTCCTCTGTTAGTGTTCACCCTGCGACTTGTGACTGGCCCCATAGCTTGGTTCATGATGGTTGTGGTTAAAGAGACCAAATAATTGTGCAGTTGTGTTGAGCTGTGATCGTGAAATGATCTGTTGTTGTTCACTGTCATGTGACTCTTCAACGCAGTAAGGCCTGTGCGTTAATGATAACGTTGCATTGTAATTGTTTGGATGTGGACGTTGTGCATATTTGCTTTCGGAATTTTGCAGTCTTTGTGAATCTCCCAAAACAGTGTTTTATTAAACTTGGAGGGGTAAGAGAAAGTTTTTTGTTTTTTTTTTAATCAGAGATGAAGGTTTTGTCTGATGAAAAGAGTTTTCCAGGAAAGCTAATTTGCTGCTTTAACCCTAAATCCCCAAGGCCCTTCTTGCTGGGCAACTTCCTTGATCTTCCATTATGCTTCTCACCAAAAAAAGGACCTTCCTCAATCCTCCAAAATCCTTCAAAATTTCCCACTTCAATCAATCTCAGGTGAGGGATGATCCTTTCCTCAATCCTAACTGTATGGAGTAATGAACAAAGCAAAATAAAGACAAAACAACACAGTGAAGTAAGGGGATTCTGGGTACTTCCAGAATGAGGGGTCCAAAAGTGTGACATTTTTGTGTCCCTGTTATATCTGACCTTTGTTATTTGACATGGAAATATCACCGGAATTGATTTCAAACTATTACTATTTGTTTGGCAGGTAATTTGCATTACTTTGTCACTCTTGGAAATTAGAAAATGTGTTCTGAACTTCCAAAATCATGTGTCAGATGTGACAGGGACACGAAAAAAAAATGGACCCTTAATTTCTGGAATTACCCTGATATAGTTTGTGACCAGCAATAAACCATGGGGGTCAACTTTGGTGATCAGTGAACTGAATGGTACCACCCCCCCTTCCCGCAGCCTTTACAGAAAACAATCCTCCGGAATCCTGTCACACCTCAATCTCCTTCCTTCCTCAATCCTCCAAAATCCTCCAAAACCACCCGAAGGATTTTTGAGTACTGAGGAGGGTTAGGGTTAAAAAGGTCTTATATCATATATATTATTTTTCTTAACACATTCAGAGGTGGTTATGAGTAATTTTGTTGGAAATGTTGATATTTCTGATGTAAAAAAATTGCATTGCCTTTTTAAAAATTTCCCCATCCAGCGTGCCACCAGAACGGGTGATGCCGTTCGGCACGAAGGACAACTTTTGGGAGATGGGTGCCACTGGACCCTGTGGGCCCTGCACGGAGGTGCACTACGACCGGGTCGGTGGAGGTCGGGACGCCTCGGAGTACGTCAACATGGACGACCCCAACGTGGTTGAACTCTGGAACCTCGTGTTCACGCAGTTCAACAGGTAAGATGTAGTTTGAATGCATGACATCATAACCTGTCGGATATTTTGATTATTAGGTTAGCCTTGTCTGCTAAATTTTGAAGAATTGTTGGATTCTGATGGGAACTTACCAGTGGAATTTGACAGACACAAGTTCTGTGCTTAATCCTAACTGTTCTTAATCCTATTGTTTCACAACCAGAGGCATTGGTGTCAGGTGCAGTGTCAGGTGCATTTCCTTTGTGTATTTCATGCTCATGAAGGCCCTTTCATCCTCTGTGCAAAAACGGATGCAGATACAAATTTGTGGCAACTTCCTTATTTCTGCACTGCAAATCTCCCCTCCCCGAAAGATGTTTAGCACCTTTCAGCTGTGATAAATCTTGCCGCAAATGCTCTGTGACGTCAAACTCTCGTTACCGCCATCTTTGCATGAAGCGCGAACCAGTCTTAAGAATGTGATTGGCATCCCATGTTCATCAACTTTGTATTTTGCCCCGTCTTTCCCAGAGAGTCAGACGGAAGCCTCCGGCTGCTACCCAAGAAAAACTGCGACACCGGCATGGGTCTGGAACGAATCGTCTCCGTCCTGAAAAGCCAGGACTCCAACTACGACACCGATTTGTTCATGCCCATTTTTGAGGCAGTGCAGAAGGTAAGGAGTATGCGCACTTTATTTATCCTGGTTTTTATCCCAGAATAACACCAAGTGCAAAGGGAAATGCGTCAGGCTGTGGACCAACTTTCACCTCAAGTCTGTGATTTGGTCATTTCTCCCCAGGCCACCGGTGTCCGGCCCTATGCCGGTAAACTGGCCGCCGAAGACACAGACGGGGTTGACATGGCGTACCGAGTCGTCGCCGATCACATCCGCACACTGACCATAGCCTTGTCTGACGGAGGCAGACCTGACAACATAGGCAGAGGGTAGGTATGGTTTTGATACCTTCTGATAACCCATCAATGAATTCAATTGGTTTTTATAGAATATTTTCCCCTGAACTTTGTTGGTTTCCAGATACGTCCTGAGACGCATTCTACGCAGGGGGATACGATACGCCACCGAGAAACTGAAAGCCAAGCCGGGATTGTTTGCCAGCCTGGTCAGCGTAGTCGTGGAGAGCTTGGTAAGTTCCGTCGAGCAAATATCCGAGAGAGAACTCCAAGATCTAAAAGTGAGATGCAAACCTGATGAAGCAGCCACAGTCAACTGTTTATTTACACCGTTTGCAGCACTTTACAAGAAGGTGTCATCAGCTTGGAAAATTAGTCTGCTTAACGAGTTGGCCAGTTTAAATGAAATTTGAGCATCCAAGAAGTTTTTGATGCAGGTGGAAATGTTTCAATGTTCGTTTAACCCCGTCGCTAGGGCGGACTGCTACTACCACACCACTGAGTGAGGATTAGTGCCTACCACACATACAGTCTATTCACCATGCAGCTGCTGGTTCAATGGGGCCAGCTGCTGGACAAAGCCCTCCATTCAGGGCATACCACAGCCCAGCAGTCGTGGTCAAAATAAGGGGTTAAGAATTTGTAAAGGAGTGTATTGAGTGAGCTCATTATTTTGAAGAAAAAAAAAAAACAAGATGAAGAGATAGAATTCCTTTTATTTTCAGCTCAAATGTGTTTGAGATGCCAAAGATGTTATCCACAATTGTATATAGGGGAAATTTTTGCCTATCCAGCAAAATAAGTAGCCATTACTATGGACGTTAAAACCCTGTTCAACCAGTCCACCTTTAGCAGAAGCACCCCGTCATTGGTTGAAAAGAGTCATGCTGGTGAGGAGCTTTCATTTTGTTGGTAGCAACGCGACCATAACGCGTGCATTTCATAGTCGTTTGTGAAGCGGTAAATTCCCCAAAGGAAACCCCGTTGCTTGGACAATTGCTACCTCTCTCGGTCCCATTTGGGCCTTAAGGGATGTTGTGACTCGCTCAAAATGCGTGTGCACCTCGTGTTAACATGACCGAGTGTGGTTCCACATTAGTGATAACGTCTCCTTGGAATGGTCTATAGTTTAATCGGGATAAGAAAATTTGGGCCCTATTGTTGTTTTTATCCCGCCCTGGATTTTTCAGGGCGAAGCCTTCCCCGAGGTCACCAAGGACCCCCAGCTGGTGATGGACGTCATCAACGAAGAAGAGGCGCAGTTCCTGCAGACGCTCTCCAGAGGGCGCCGCGTGCTGGAGCGCACCGTCAACAACCTGGGGGCGGATGTCAAAGTGCTGCCAGGTCAGGGCAAGGGCTTAGTCTCAAAGTCAGGCGTTGTGATTTTTGTGCCCTCAAATTGTAGATTTTTTTTGGGTTCAACTGTTCATGTTGTGCTGTGGTTACGCACTCAGATTTAAAAATTACAAGAGCAAGGTTTGCTTAGTCAAAGCTAAATCGTAAATATTTACTTTCTTTCTCCTCGAAGGCAAGGCCGCCTGGCTGCTGTATGACACCTACGGGTTCCCCATTGACCTGACGACCCTCATCATGGAGGAGAAAGGAATGACCATCAACATGGCCGAATACGAGGAGGAAAAGAAGAAGGCCCAGGTACTGGCCTTCCGCTCTGTGCGTGGCGAAGCGAGGGCGCTATTTATGCATAGAAGGAGTTGCAAGTTCTTTGGTTGTTACCGTCTGATCAGTTTAAATAAATAAACAAACAGAAATCTTTCTCTGGTGATGTATTTTGTCCGTATAGCGCCTTCTACCGTCTTTGCACCTATCTCACTTTGATATATAGGTCTGATGATCAGAGCAGTCTTAATTTTCTCTCTAGAAAGTTCGTTGTTCCCATTCATAAAAACTTCTGAGTCTGTTCCGTCAGGTTTGTTATGTTGTTTAAAGTTATATGGCCATTGCTTTTCCCGTTGATACTTGAGACGGGAGTTCTTGAATTTATAAAGATGCACGTGTGACCTAAGTACATTCATAAAAATGTGGTAGATTATTAAGTTATATTCACTTTTCACACAGGCCATATTGACCGTGCAGGTGTCATTCATAATTGTGTAGCACAGACTGCGTTGTAACTGTCTGTCATTTTTTGCCTGCTTTTCATCGTAGATTCTGTCCCAGGGCAAGGGGTCAGGGGTTGACGACACCATCAGTCTCGACGTCCACGCCATCAACGAACTTCAGGAGAAGAGAAAAGTGCCACCCACCAACGACAAGGTTAAGTACAATTACACCAGCGACGCAGCAGGGAACTATCGTGAGTTGAAAGATGTGTCCACAGGAGTTTGTTTGAAAACTTAAAGATGTTTGAATACACATGTAGGATTAATATAAATAACTGTCTTAAGTGGTATTCTGAGTTTGTTGAGGTAGAGCTCAGAGAAAAATATTATGTGATTATGAGAGAAACGGATTAAAGAAAATGTCCGATTAAGTAAGCAGATTTAGGAACTAGAGTGAATTGTTCTCTAGTAATTTGCCTGTGAGTAAATTCTTCACAATCTTCCTTGTGGAACTCCACAGAGTTGGGTTACCATGGAGTGGCTACGTTTGCCATGTTCTCGCTCTCCTTTTGCAGAGTTTGAGTCCACGGTGGGCACCGTCATCGCCCTGCGCAGGGACAAGCAGTTTGTGGAGGAGGTCCAGCGGGGTGACGAGTGCGGCGTCCTGCTGGACCAGACGTGCTTCTACGCCGAGGCGGGCGGGCAGATTTACGACGAGGGCTTCATGGAGAAGGCAGACAATGCCGTAAGTATCCTATTCGTCTCTGATTGTGTTTCCTTTTTAAACCTTTCGTCGATTACAGTGACGACAAGTTGGCATTGTCACGGAAGGCAACGTGCATTTCAAGTCCCTCGGTTTTGAGGGCCAGGGCTCGTACCCTGCTTGTTAGCAGTGTCAATTAATAGACTTTTCTCCTGTTGCCTTTCCTATTGGCTCTCAGAAATATATTTCAGCTGTAATTCTATTAGTTTTGTATCTATGAGGCTCGAGCTAGACCAAGAGAGGGCGCCATTTTCCTAGCAATGCAGGTGCATTTGGTAGGAACTGCACTTTGCCAGTTCACAAAACAGACGACTATGAAATGCATGTGTTACAATCTCATCATTAACAGCAAAATGAGTACTCCCGACCAACATGGCTCTTTTCCACCGATGAAGGGGTGCCTTTGCCAAAGCTAAAACCATTTGCAAATGAAGGAGTTCTCAAAGACTGCCCTCAAAATATTTGCCTACAAAATTCACCGTGTATGTTATTCACAGTTGCTTTACAGTCATATGCCATTTTTTACTGTTGTAGTTAACTGGTTTCCTGCATTGCATTTTAGGACATTGAGTTCAGGGTTACCAATGTCCAGGTCAAAGGTGGCTACTGCCTTCACATCGGCAAGGTGTCCGCCGTGGATTTGGACGGGAAGATCAAGATCGGAGATCTCCTCAAACTGGCCATCGATGAGGTCAGCTTATCCAATTTTGTATCAACTCTAAATAAAAGAGAACCTCTTAATCATTAAAAGAAAAGATCCTGACTGAATCCTACAAAATCTTACACAGCAGAAAACCAATGGCATATTCCCTTCTTTTTTGGGGTTTCAGATCCGGTGTTAAGCAGTGGTGTCTGAAGTCTACAGTGTCTGAAGTACTGAATCCTAGGAATCCATTCAAACACCAGCATTTTCTTTTTTAAGGATTTAGATTGGTTTGGGTTTTTTCTTAGAGCAACATTTACAGATGTCCAAGGTTGCCGTGTGCTATGACTCTGTGGATGGCTTTGCGCGTTTCTAGTGCTTGCGTGTCTCTGACTGATTCATGACTGAACATTTTTTGGCACCGGCTTTATTTTTAGGTTCGGAGGAGGCCCGTCATGAATAACCACACAGGCACCCACGTGCTGAACTTTGCCCTGCGACAGGTGTTGGGAGAAGCCGACCAGAAGGGGTCGTTGGTGGCGCCAGACAGGCTACGATTTGACTTCACTGCCAAGGTATGAAGAAGCCTTCTTATAGTTTTTTACAGATCTTACAGATTTGAGGTTAGACAGGTCATCTTGAAAACAATTTCTGTTCTCAACATGTGTCGAGAAATCTCTATTTTTTATCTTTCCATCTTGAAAGAGTAATTCATTTTTTCATGTCTTCCTCTTTTGACTTGACTGCTACCCCGCAATGTTTTCACAGTTTTGTACTAATGATTTAAAATGTTTACTAAGAAATGAAGCTAGGGTAACTCTTCTGATGCCGTAGTTGTCATTGAAGGAGACATTAAAGCATGAATCCAAGATCAGATGATGATTGTGAATGTTTAGTATTGGAATGACTGATGATTTGACACATAAACAATACGGGCGATTCACAGTAGTGCGCCACCAAGAGTTTGCAACGCGTTGGCCAATCACAACGCGCAAAATCTGTCGACCCTTTCCAGACGCGCGTTTGGTCGGCAGATTT